GCTGAACAACAAAACCATTGGACAAAGCTTGATGCTTATTTCCATCATCAGAGCAGCTTTCAAGCTTGTTCTCTTGGTTCAGGTTTACCTCTCCTTCTCTATTTGGCAGAAGATCTGTTGTGGACTGGGTTGGGTAATCTTGGGTTTCTGGAGGAATGGAGTTAATGACCGTATCTGTGATGGTGCACACTTGGTTTTCTTTAAAACGAGAACTTGGCAGCGCAGCACCGGTGCTTTCGGGTCCCTCTTTCCCAACACACTTTTGGTTGAAAGGTGGTGAGCAGGGGAGAGAGCACTCCTTCCCGTGTGGTTGCTGGGGACCATCCATCTCTGAGGCAGAGCCCACCAGACCGCAGTGTCTCGCCGTCCCTTCTCTTTCAGGCAGTCCGTAGTTACCCAAAACGCCATCGGGAAGGTGATGGTGACCGTCCTCGACTGCTTCCATTGGCACGGCCCCCTGGTGATGCAGCGAGGGAGGGAAGGTGGGTGCCCTTTTCCATGTCCCTTGCTCTACTGGGCTTACAGTAGGGTGATGGACATGATGGCTGTTGGCCTCAGGAGGACACCTCTTCATGATGGTTGAACTTGATGCATTAAGCAGGGACCCGCTGTACTTCTCATCTGAGAGCTGAGTGCCAAAGCTGGGGATGTCCCCTCCCTCAGCCCCACCGTTTTGCAAGCATTTGGGGTGAGAAAAATTGGTCGGCAAGGGCAGGCTGGCCGGAGATTCGCTCGTGTAATGACAGCCATTGAGGGACTTCATCTTGCCGTTTCCTTCTCTGGAAACCTTTGCACTGACTGCGCCGGCTTTCTTCTCCGGCACCAAGTGATGATCCTGGTGGCGATCCTCCTCGGAGGGAGCAGGGGGGCTGGTGGGACTCGTGGAAGCACAGCACGGGGGCTGTGCCCCCTGCCCCACCTGACTGCTTTCCAGCCTCTCTGCTGCTGCGCTGCCCAGCGCTTCTTTCTCGAGCGAACTACAGCCTAAACGGGATTGCTCGTGGGTTTTAAATGCCAAGGTCGCTTTGGTCTTATCTTGCTCCTGCTCTTCCACGAGCTGCTCAGCTTTCCTTCCTTGCCCTGGCGGTGGGGTCACCGCTGTGTTTTCGAGTGGCGAGAGGTCATTACGCTCTCGGGAAACACCATCTGCACGGATATTAATGTCATTCGGCTCCGCATGTTCATTTGCTAAGTGCTGCAGCTCCGTTACATTATTTTGCAGCTCCGGCTTCGTGAACGTGGATTGTTTTGCGGAGTAAGAGCCCATCGCACCAAACGACTCCAGCTGCTCGTGCCCACCAGAGAAAAGCACAGCCTCTTTTGCTGGGGCAGCAGTGTTTTCTGTGTTGCCTCCAACGGGGATGTTCCCCTCCCCTTGGGCAGGGCAGTACGTCCGATTTTCCCCTTCCAAGGCACCCCCGCTCTCCTCTTTCTGCTCTGGCTGGATGCGGGCGGTGGCAGAGGGGTGGCTGGAAGCGAGCAGCACGGGGAAGCACGGCATCAACAGCTCCTCCTCATTGCTCTTCACTGTTCGGGCAACGAAGAGCTGGAGCTGCTGCAGGGGGTTGGCAGCCGTCTCCTGGGATGCCAACGTCTGTCGGGAGCCGCAGTCACCCTCCTTGGGCAGACTCAGCATATCGAACAGCAGCACTTTTTGCTTGGTGGCTTTGTCACCCAGTCCGGGGGCTGGGTAGGTGGTGGGGCTTTTCCTCTCCTCTGTTTCTTCCATCAACACGGGCCCGCCACCATCCCCTTTGAAGTCCATGTCGCTTTTCGCCATTTTGGGTGACTCAGGCCTGCTTAAGGGTCTTCCTTCTGTATCTGGGACCTCTTTGATGTGAGGTGAAAAGGTGGGATCCAAGGCTGGGGTGGGACCTTGCTGAAAGCCAAATTCAGCTTTACGGTTTGGAAGATGTGCGTCAAACTTCTCCAGCTCTGCAGTATCAGTGAAGCTTTCATCTGGTTTCCTCGGCACGGGGAAGCTCTCAGCACCGCGCTGGCATGGCAGGGGATCTTTGGTGGCTTCAGCTGCCTCCAGAGTCTTGGGGAACACAGAGTCAGTGACAACAGGAGGGCTTTTTGTCACGGGATCTGTGTAGATGGGAGCCTCTGTTAGGTCTGGCGTGCGTGAGCCAGGTAGACTTTTGGAGGAACACCCATTTTCCATCTTTCCAGAGTCACTTTCCTTGGCAGCTGCAGCTCCCCGAAGCTGCTCGCTGCTATCTTTGGAGCAGAAATGGTCCACGGCAAGTGGGGCTGGTGTGCACATCCCTGCCTCCAGCTCCACCGGGCAGGGCCAGGGCTCCCTGGGTCTCTCGTAGTCCCCACCAGCACTCATGACGTCCGGCTTCTCGCCTCCCAGCCTCTCCCTGACGCAGAGGCTTGAACTGCCCAGCTCGTCTGCCAAAAACAGTCCTTTCTCATGGCTCACCTCTTGCTTAACCGGCAGCGGTGGGAACTGCTCGGCCGCCTGTCCTCGCAGATGGGCAGTGACGTGTTGCTCGGGTTTCTGAAGGGCGACGGGGGCCTCGCTATCCAGCTTGTTGGTTTGCAGTTGACTTTCCAGCTCTGTGACTAATCGCTTGATCTCCAGCTCATCGTCTGAGATGTTGTTCATAAAAGTCACGTTATAATCCGTTATCCTGTCCGGCAGCGGCAGGGAGAGCTGGCTGGTGGGGACAGGTCCTTCCTCGGGGAATTTCTTAGCTAGTGGCTTCTCCACTGAAAGGCTGTGGAACTGAGTCATGTCTTCTGGCAGCATCGGAGCCACCTCCTCCATGAGGGACCAGTCTTTCTCTGGCATGAATGGTGGATATGGTTGCTCAAACGGCAGTGGCTTGCTGGGGGGATTGCCAGGACAGGCGAACGTTGTCACATAACCATCCTTGCCTGCAGAAACACTCTCATACAGCGGCGGATCGAACTCGGTGACGGGAAGCTCTCCAAATATTGAAGAGGAATCGAAGCTGAGAGGGGAGGAGACCTTGCCCTGCGGCGTTTCTGTGGTGTAAGGGGAGATGCTGGCGTGCTTCTGCTCGAAGGAGCTGGCGTTGATGTCCTCCCGGCATAAGTACACGTCATCCATGTGTGACGAGCCCAAGGCTGGGGGCTTTGAGAAGAGGTTGTCATCGTAGTGACCGGGAAGTCCTTTGGGATCGAAAAATGCGCTGTCACTGCCGACGTACGGATTGGGCACCTTGGCAGTGAGCATCATCCCCACTGCATCCCCCCCGTATGGGGCAACCGGCACGGGATAGTCCTTCTGACTGTCACAGAGCCCGTGTGCCTTCGAGTATTTGATGCCCACTTCCGAGTAGGCAGCACTGCCAGGACTAGCTTCGTTACCGCCGTGGGACGGAGCAATTAGCTCTTCCGTGTGGTGCTTCAGCCCATCGCTCGTGAAAGGGGCAAACGGATGCCTCGGGTTGACCATGGCCAGCTCAGGTGAGTCCTGAGCCTCCAGGGTGGGTTCTCTTGCCTTATCCGTGTGCTTTGCTGCTTCTTTGGCCTCTTCCGCGCCCTCCTTACAGGACAGCCCGACGGGGCTCCTGACCGAGGCGGCCGTGCTGGGCAACTGCCTTTCCTGAGGCTGCGGTGACGGCTCCTCCTTTGCACAGTCCGTCGCAGCAACCTCTGGATCAGTACTCGGACGTGTCCTGGAGCCTGCTAGCAAAGGTTTAGCTGAGCCGAACCGCCTGCTCCCCCTGGGAAAGTCCTCTTGGCTCTTCTGGCTCTTCTTTGGGCTCCTCTCCTCGGGAAGGCTGAGCAGAGTCCTTGGTGCACGTGCGGGGCTGCCCAAGCGCCTCCTCCTCCGTGCGCCTCCCTTCTCGCTGCCCGAGCCAGCCCCATCAGTGCGGGGTGGGCTGGTGCCCGTCTCGCTGGGCACGCTACCGCTGTGGTTGCTGCTGGTAGACGACTGGCTGCTCCGTCTTCGGACTCTGGAGGCACAATCCTCTTTCTTGGCATCCTCTTGGCTTGGGACCCCCCCGCGCTCCTGCGCTTCCCTTTTCTGACTGTAGCTCCAGGCTGGGTCTTTCTCTTTGACTCTCTCGCTTCTTCCCGGGCGTTTCTTGCTAAAGCTGTATTTGGTCCTCCCAACGAATCCTGTGCCACGCTTCTTCCTCCCCCGGAGCTTGCTGCACTCTGCCCCATCATCATCCGAGTCGGAGACGTAGTCATACTCCCGAAACCTGCCCTCCTTGGAGGCTGGCGTCAGCCTCTCGGTGACCTGGGGGAGCTGCGCCTCCTTGCTGCTCTTCACCTGCAGTTTGTGCAGCTTGTTCTTCTGCTGGACGATCTTGTGAATGAGCTCCTTGCTCCACGTCCCGCTTCGGGGCTTCCTCTTCTTCATCTCCTTCATGGAGAACCGGGGCGGCTTGGAGCTTTTGGTGGCAACGCCCAGCCCCACCTCACTCTTCATCGGTGCTTCCTGGCTGAGCTTCCTGGGCTGCTTTTGGCTGGAGGTGGTGGCCGGTGGGATGCTGTTCTTCCTGCCCGCCCGCGGCCTGGCTGTCCTCTGTGCTCCCGCTGTCCCGGTATCCGCCTCCTGGGCTGCCAACCTCCGTGCCGCCCTCCCCTTGTGAAGGTGCTGCTTTCCTGCTCCTCTCTTCGCCTGCTCCCCACCCGGGTGGCCATCTTCATAAAAACAGCCAGCCTTGGGCTGGGCTGCTGCCTTCTCCTCAGCTACCGCCTGCTTTGATTTGCTCTCCGAGGTCAGGGCTTCCTTCACCTTGTGGGACATCCCACCACCAGCCGCCTTCATGCCCGTCAGCTCCTCGTCGGCAAACACGTCGATGAAGCTGCTGTCGATCTCTGGGTTATCTGACTGGTACCCCAGGCCGTTGAGGGCTTCGGTGATCAGGCTGTCCAGCTTGGCGTCGTCGATGTCCAGGTCCGAGGCGGTGAGCGGCAGGGAGCTGGCGGTGAGGCCGTTGAAGAGGCCGCCCTTCAGAGCATCTTCCTTGCCCTCGCTTTTGCTTTCCCCATCCAGCAAGAAGTCATCGCTCTTGTTTAACGTCAAGAAATGAGCCTGGGGGTCCGGAGAGAGCCCCAGGCTGGAGGGCTTGGGGGGCTCCGGGGGGAGTGCTTTCCGCCCCTCGGCTGCCCGGGGAGCATCCTTGCCCTCTCCCTGGGGTGTGGGGTGGGAGGCGCAGAACTGGCGGTGCTGCAGGAAGGAGGAGAGGTTGCTGTAGTTCTGGTCGCACTGCTTGCACGTCAGGAGCACGTCCAGCTGGTCCAGGCTGGCGCTGCTGAGCGAGCTGGCCAGCAAGTGATGGGAGGAGTATGGCGGCGGAGGCTGCTCCTCATCCAGCCCATCCGAGCATCCTTTGGCCACCTCCACGCCGGGTTTGTGGAACGGGCTCGCCGGGGCACATTTCAGGAGGTTGTCATCTTTCAGGGCATCGGAAGGGAAGTGGAAGGACTTGACGGAGTCCGGAGGGTGGTAATGAAGCGAGCTGGAGCTCAGGACGTCGGAGGGATGGAAGGTTTTGTTGCCGTCCTTGGGATGGCAGGGGTGCTGGAAGAAGGGAGAGGAGGTCAGTGCTCCGGCCATCTGGCTGTCTTCGAAGCTGGGGTTGAGCGGGCTGCTGGACATGGGGGAGAGCGACGAGCAGGTGCTGCCGCAGGTGGGGTTGGGGACAGGGGATGGCAGCGGGGACTCGCAAGGGGAGGCAGCCACCAAAGACGACGGTGGCAGGACCAGCGCTGAGCCTGACGAGCTCCTTGAGGGAGGAGGAGGACCTGCTTGACCCATGCCGTAGAAGAGGGCTTTGCTTCTCGAATCGCAGGCAGGAGACCCCGGCTCCTTTCCACTTTCGAAAGAGAAAGCGCCCGTCGAGTTGGGGTCTCCCCTCTGGATCCCGAGGCTCTCTCCCGACAAGAGCTTTTTGCCATGATACCCTGGAGAGTTACTTACGGGGGGCCCCTTCTGGTCTTTCCCGCTCCCCTGCCACTCCGACGTGCCCGGGGGGAAGGGGAGCTTCTGGCTGGTGATCTGTCTCGACAGCTCTAGCCTGTTTTGACCGGGCATTGCAGAAGCGAGGTGTATTTGCTGCCAAGGCATCCTGGCATTTTTCTGCCTGTGCTGCCTCTGCTCGGGGCCAGACTGGCACTCAAATGAGAACTGGTTTCCAACAGGGTTTGAATAAGGTGCTGAATTCTGGTCCATGGGAGAAAACGCCTTAGTGGCACCTTCCCAAGCTTGCACAAGCCTGGGGTGGGCGGGTGCCGTAGTGGGAATGCTTGTCTCGAAAGGCATGGATCCTGCGCTGGTGCTGCCCGTGGGGGAACTGCAATAGGCTTTGCTCTGAAAGTGCACTTGGGAGAGAGAGTTTGGTGGCATGTTCCTTCTCAGAGGGCTGCTCTGGACCAGCAGCCGCGGGCTGGGGACACTGTCTTTCGCTGAGGCTTGCCTCTTACCGACTGGCTTTGGCATACTAGGCGAGTGTAAACTAGACGGAAAAACAGCTTGGTTTTCTTGGAAAGTGCTTGGGTTTTGGTCGATAGCACCAGACGACGCGAGAGCACCATTGGGGTCGGCGGGATGCTCGCTCCTGCCCTTGCAGCATGGCAGCGGGCCGTGGTGCGGGGCTGGCGGTGGCGGCGGGTGCAGGAACG